ACCGAAAAGAACTTTCGTCGGTGTCTGTCCTGAAGACTCATTTACAGCTGATCGGTATGCCATCAAGAAGAATGAAATGTGTTCGTCCCAGTCCTGCTGATGATCAGAGACGACTTTCGACAAATGCCTGATCAAGGTTCTGTTCATGCGTTCCACCATTCCATCGGACTGCGGATGTAGCGCCGTTGTTCTAGTCTTTCGGATCCCCAGCTTCTGGCAAACTTCTTGGAATAGCTTGCTTTCAAAGTTTATTCCTTGATCTGAATGTAGTTCCAAAGGCACTCCAAACCGGCTGATGAATTCCTTGACCAAGACATCAGCTATGGTGGCAGCTTCTTGATTGATGACTGCATAGGCTTCTACCCATTTAGTGAAGTAGTCCATTATTATGACGATGTATTTCTTACCAGCTTCGCTTTCTGGTAGAGGTCCCATCACATCTATGGCGACTCTCTCGAATGGGCTCCCCACGATGTACTGCTGCATGCCGGCCCTCTGCTTACGGTGTGGTCCGTTGCTTGCTGCACAGGTAGTACACTTTCGGCACCAATCTCTCACATCATCAGAACAGTTGACCCAGTAGAATCGGTCCCGTACTTTCTGCAACGTCTTCTTTACACCCAGGTGTCCTCCGGACGTCCCATCATGAAGATGTCGTAGTACTTCTGAGACACAATTCCTGGGAACCAGCAGCTGGCTCTTGGAATCGGTGCCTTCGGCATTTTCGATTACCCTCTTTAGCAAGCCGTTTTCAATCACCAAGGAATTCCACTGTGCCCAGTATGACTTCAAAATCGGCGATGATGACGACACTTCTTGCCAGGTTGGCCGACTTCCATTCTATTAGCCTTTTAAGGTCGGGGTCGTTGACTTGATGCTCTTGAATTCTCCCTTGAGTCCATTCTTCACTGACGACTTTGACCTGGTGCAGGCTGGCATCTTTCTCCTCCATGCGACTACAATGGGAGCAATTCGCTTGACATGGTCTTCTAGAGAGTGCATCGGCATTACGGTGACTTGTACCGGGGCGGTGTTCGATCTGGAAGTCAAATTCTTGAAGTTTTTCTAACCACCTTGCGACTTGACCCTCAGGATTCTTAAAATTTAGTAGCCACTTCAAACTGGCATGGTCGGTTCGAATCAAGAATTTTCTTCCATACAGGTACTTGTAAAAATGCTCCACAGATCTAACAACTGCCAGGAGCTCTCGTCTGGTAACACAGTAGTTACGTTCAGGTTTAGATAATGTCTTACTAAAGTAACCAACAACCCTTTCTTGGCCATCCTGAAGCTGGGAAAGAACGGCACCAATTCCCACATTGCTGGCGTCGGTGTCGAGAATGAACTTTCCTTCAGGAAGTGGATAGCCCAGGATCGGAGCTGAAGTCAACTGATTCTTCAAAGTGTCAAAGGCAACTTGGCATTCTTCATCCCAGCTAAATCTTCTAGCTTCCTCAGTCATTCGTGTTAGCGGTTTGGCGATGTCCCCAAACATCTTCACGTAGCGGCGATAATAGGAACAGAGCCCCAGGAAGCTCCGTAGTTGATGTTTGTCGGAAGGGGTTGGCCATTCCTGGACTACGTGGATCTTGTCTGGGTCTACAGCTATACCTTCCTCGCTGACTACATGCCCTAGATAGCTGACCTTAGTCTGGAAGAGATGACACTTCTTCACGTTCAATGTCAGATTGGCTGTTTGAAGTCTCTTAAAAACCTCTTCGAGATTCGTCAAATGCTCGTCAAATGTTCGCCCCAGAATGATGACGTCATCCAAGTACACGAGGCAGATTTCCCAGGACAAACCTCTGAGAATGTTCTCCATCAGTCGTTCAAAAGTGGCTGGAGCATTACAAAGACCAAACGGAAGTACTGTAAACTGCCACAGGCCTGTTCCACTTGTGAAAGCCGTCTTCTCCTTGTCGGCAGGATCCATTTCCACCTGCCAGTAACCACTCTTCAGATCCAGAGTGGAAAACAACTTGGAACCTGCGAGTGCGTCAAGTGCGTCGTCGATTCTTGGCAGCGGGTAACTGTCTTTCTTAGTGACTTCGTTGAGTTTGCGGTAGTCAACGCAGAACCTTGTTGAACCATCTTTCTTTTTCACAAGAACTATTGGAGAGACCCAAGGGCTGTTTGAAGGTTCTACTACTCCGTCTTTTATCATTGCTTGAAGAGTTGTTTCTGCTTCTGCCTTCTTCACCTGGGGAAGTCGTCGAGCAGCCTGACGGATAGGACGAGCATCCCCAGTGTCGATCTTATGTTTTACCACACTGGTTCTTCCTGGTTTGTCATCTGATGAACCAAGAATGGAATGGTAACGAATAACTAGGTCTCTCACCTTCTTTCTTTGTTGCCGGGACAGGGATGGAGGGACGGTGACTAGAATCTGACTGAGCTTGTCCGAGTTCCGCTCTTCCTTAGAGGTCGTCCGGTGGATAACTTCGGTTATCGGTTCAAAGGTTCCTACTTGAGTGCCTTTCCTGAGAGTAACTGGACGGTCGTTCAGGTTGATCAGACGAACTGGCACACTTCAAGCGGATTGGATCAGTGCCTTACCAACAAGAATGCCCCTTCCCAGCTCCTGGTCATTAACCTGGGTAGAGCCGAACATAATTCTTACGTCTACCTCGCCGTGAACAGTCACAATCCTGACAGCAAAAGCATTCCAGGAGGAATGCATCTAAGGAGGGGGCAGTGTAACGGATTAGCTTCCCAGTAGCACGCTTCGACCTTTTCCCTAGTGACAGCCAACATAAAAACGAGACAGTCAAGTTGACAAGGAGATTTTTGGAAAACGTCAGTGAGAGCAGCATATAAATTGCAAGATAAATATAAAAAGATAAATATCCTTTTTTTTAGTTCGTAATTAGTTTTCGCGTTATTTTGTTGATTATTTGTTTGTGTATTTACAAGAAATAAATAGTTTCCACCCACACTCGTGTTACAATACTTTATTTGCATTTAGTACATTCTCAGAATATTCTAAGTACCTTATATGTTACGGGACGTTGTTTATACGTGCTTTGCAGATACTGAGAATATACTTCAAGTATGTGTACAGTATGCAATAAGTACCTACTTTCATTTGATAGTACGTTCTAAGTATTTAAATTTAGCATATACTAGGCATATCGCTGTCCCAGTTCAAAAGTGTAACATCTCCAAATCAGCCATTTTGAGATAAATTACTTTAAAGATTTTTCTTTACTAATTTGTAAGATTTTTCTTTCCTAATTTATAATTTATTATTAAAATAAATAAAAAAATTAATATTTTGAGATATTATAGTGTTGAATTATTGTAATAGACCTTGCCCTTCTTGCTAAGAATACATTCTTATCTCAAACTCTAATTTAAATCATGTTATCGAAAACCGGAAGTGCTGTGGCGTCTTTAATGTACATATTTATTTTGATTTTTTGGTCAAAAAATGATATGATTTTTTTTAAAGTGAAAATTTAGTTTTTATACTTATTAGAACACGGTCACATCTGAAACGAATGTAAAAAAAATTGTGAGTAAATATATAATGGTCGCCCGTGTCCCAGTCGAGCGCGTACAAAATTGCCAGTAAGACGAGTTCGTCACTGATACGGGCATGTACGTTAAGTGGTTAATATGTACATTGGATTATTAATAAGATTAGCTTTCAAATGAAGTATCACACTTTACAATTCGTAACAGTTTTTTATTCTGCTAGAGGGCATTAAAATGAAAAGTAACGCAATAAACAGGATAAAAAAGAGTAGGTCATTGAAAAAAGTCATTTTTATAAAGTTATGTTTATCCGCGGAATCGCGCCATTTTAGAGACCTAAAAAACATATTTGGAGGTCTTGCTATGTAATGATTTATTATTTTTTTGAATTATACCAATGTATTGGATCATTCATACTAAAAATTATACCTGGATTTTCGTGCTAAATATTGGTTTTTATCATTTTGATAAAGTTATGTTTATCTGCGGAATCTCGCATTTTTAAAGACCTAAAAAATGTAATTAGAGATCTTGCTATTTGATAATTTATTATTTTTTTTATTGATACTTGTTTATTGAATCTTTCGTATAAAAATTGTATTTGGAATCTCGTGTTAAATGATTGTTTTTGTTGGTTTTATTGAGTAATATTTATTCGCGAAAACACTCGACTTTAATGATCTAAAAACTATATTTAGATGATTTGCTATTTAATGATTTTTTATTTATTTTATAGCTAGTGATGTAATAAATTATTGGTATAAAAATTGTATTTGTAATCTCGTGCTAAATGTGGTTTTTGGTCTTTTTGTTCTTATAGTCGTTTAACGACAAAACACCTGACTTTAAAAAGACCAAAAAAATATATTTTAAATCATTGCTTGACCATAATTTTTTGTTTAATCAATTAACAAAAATCTAATGAATATTTGGTATAAAAATTATATTTATAATCGCATTGTAAATGTGGTTGTTTCGTCCCCGTCTTTGTGTAAGATTATCTTATTTTTACTAATAATTCAAATTGAATTAATCCATTTTTTTCAATAAATACACTAATATTTATTTATTTCTAAACTTTCATGATACTAAAGTCCACCTAAACCAAAGAGTTTGCCGAATAACAATATCAAAATATAAAGGGACCGCCGCGCGGTTTGTCTGCTAGCTTCAGCCTCATTGAAGATAGGAGTAAATAAAGGTAGCATGCCACAAAAAGATCATTTCGAGAAAAACAAGTTTAAAGTTTAACAATTGCATTATGATATATTGCTCATGATACCTTCCTTTCTGTTGTTTATTATTAAAATTGGAAATTAGAACTATCACAAACAAAAAATATGATATATTTTAGGTAAATTAGTCCATAAAAATCATTTTTTGAAAAAAATATGACAAGGCACCTTTATCTACTTGTGTCTTCATTTATTCTTATTTCCATTGCAAGTTTGCTTAGTGTACCTATCTCTAGATTAATTATTATTTTTGGTCATGCTAATAACGAATTTTTATAACGTTTTCAGGTGATAAGAGACGAGAAACTGATAACGCAACGACTACATGTGATACAGTCGACCTGTAAGTTGTTATTCTTGTGGCCTTAATGTGACAAATGAAACCTTCTTCATTGCCTTCTTAGCGTAGGATTATGTTTGTGATATTTCCTTCCTGAAAATGCGTAGAAAATGATAATTATATATAATGGTATTGAGAATACCTTTAGGAAAATTTATTGTGTGCGTTATAGCATTTACACATTTGGTAAGTAGAATTTTAGATATCCTTAGCATGACATGATTTTATTTGAATTTTACTGCAGATTAACTAATTTGTTTCTTCGAGCGTGAATATACAGGGTGTCCCGAAATTAGAAGGTCGTGTTTTAACAGCGCAATCTACATGCTAAAATAGGAGTAAAAGTTTATATAAACATAGGTCCGAAAACGTTTTGTTTCCGAGATATAGGGTGTTAAAAATGAAGTCCTGATGACACATTTTTGTAAATATTTTCTAAACTTTTAAAGATAATTAAGTGAAATTTGGTACAAATACTAAACTTTTTACGCTCTATTTAATGGACTAAACGCCAGTTTGTAATCATCTTCATAGGTGGGTAAATTAGGGGATGGCCTTAGGGTTAAATTGTCCTGAGTTTTTTTGTTGACTGTTTTTAGCATATTTAGAAAACAAATATTTTCCTTATAATAAAGCTACTTTTGTTGCATCTCGCTATGACGCACCATTTTCATAAGAAAAGCATTTGAAAATTTCATGATAAGTTGATGTTATCTTATTCGAAAGTGTAAATAATAATTAGTAGGCCTGTGGAATCAGAAATTTAATTTTTTTTTTAACTTTGGAAAACCGGTGACTAAAGAAATTTTAGAAAATATTTACTTCTATTTTAGGATGTAGATTACGCTGTTAAAATATTACCGTCTAATTTCGGGACACCTTGTATATCACGAAACTATTTATTCGAATCAAGTAACACTAACGAACACTAATTCTGAGTTATAATAAAAATAATTCTAAAGTAGGCCTTGAAAAAATTCACGCATGTCTGAGCGTATAATTGAAGCGTGTCATATACAAAACGTCGTATGTGTCACTTTTCATTTTTTTCTCAATGTGGATTTTGAGCTAAATAGGTAGTATATGACCATGGGCGTCGTTACATAATTCTATAGGGAGGGGCAAAATTTTGAAAAAAATTAGAATGTTTACTTGTTGAAAAACAAAGAAAATGAAAAATAAAAGAGAATTTTCTTATGATGGATTTAATTAATCTGTGACGTCATGGCTTACTTTCGGTTTTTCCAGAAATAACAGAAAATCGCAATTTACTTTTTATTTTTAAATGAAAACCTCTTTTCTTATTGAAAATTTGAATTTCTGGGACATTTTTGTATAAGAAGCGTGTATTGAAAATTTTCTGTCAGTAACATATTAAAAAAAATATTTTCCAATATGATGGTCAATGATGGTCATTTTGACAATATTGTCAATACGCGATTACAATAAAAAAGAGGAATTCCTTTTAAAATTAAAAAAATTCGATTTTCTGTTATTTCCGGAAAAACCGGAAGTAAGCCATGACGTCACAGAACAATTAAATTCATCATAAGAAAGTATTTGTTCTAGTGTTTCAAACAAAACAAAATTATTCCGATACCTCACTGAATAGCGAAGATAAGGGGGAGTGGAACTTCAGTAGTAACCCTAACAATGTCACTTAACTATTTGACAGAACTGATACTTAAGTTGTCATAACAAGTCTCTAATAAATAAAATAACCCGACAAAGGTGTGATATAAAAGAAAAATATGAACAAGAAGTCACAGCCATACATAATAATATAAAAAATAAAAATTTATAAAAAAACAATAACATAAAAAAACTCACTCAAACACGATGATGAACACAAAAAAAAACACTAGGAAACCGCAAATTTTAAATTTCTTTTTTTTCTACTAAAAACATCGATAACAGAAAACAATTTATTTTTCAGACTGCCATTTTCATTAATTATTCGCTCCGTGCGTGACAGCAGCGCCAACTATTTTATGAACTAACGGACGATATTTGCGTATACTGACAATACAATTTTTAATAGAGTTCGTAATTAAAAAATATATATGTTAATTTTAATAAAAGTATATGGATTTGTAAAACAAGTCAACAAATTATTATTATATATTTTTATTACTACAGCTAAAAAAAGTAGTATAATAAATAATTTACGAGAAAATGTATGAGATCTTGCCTAAGCCTAATAAGTTATTGAAGAACAGGTTAAATAATATTAAAATAAAAACATTACCATTATATAATAACGTAGAATTAAAACGTATTAACAAAAATAATTGGTATATTTGTGATGGTAATTTATATTTTCTTCATTTTAGTTCGAAAGAACCCATAAAAATTAATGATTAAAACTGTCAATAAGTCACAAGATTGCATTTCAGGCATATACAATAATCAAAGGCAGAAATCTAATCATTTGCTAAACATTTAAGATTTAAGGGATGTTGAAGAATATCATAAAATAATAATTTATTGTTTATTTAAAACCTTTTCTGATGTCTATTATTACCAGTATTACTGTTATTATTACAAAAATAAAGGTTTTTTTCTTCTTATTACACAGCTGTCCATTTATTTCTTTGATTTAATTTCGATTTTGCTACTGAACATTTATATAATTTACAGTTTTTTTGTTAGTACAATTTGCAACATAGCAACTCCGGTTGCTCATTTTATTGTTTTTAACCTATTTTTTAGTAAAAAGTAAAATGTATACGTGTATTTGATACGCCAAAATTACAAAATATCGCCTTAAAGTACTCTAATTATCCGCAGCTTGCGCTAGTATCGCTTTTACTTTCCCTACCATGACTTCGCACTGTTCGAATAGACCGCAGCCATGTTTTAACATGCCTTATCGTGCTAAACGTTCTTTCGATTAACTCTGTCGTTGGTCGAAGAACCATAAATAATTTTTATACCCCACTTTGTATGTCTGGATAAAATTCAGAATGTTTGGACGCTATATCATTAATGGAGATCTCATTATGTGCAGAAAGCTCTTTCGTACTCCAGTTTGGTATTCAGCTTCAAAATTGTCGATTCCAAATTTTTCCACTACTTTCATTTTCTAATTAGTAGTGACAAAAGTATTTTTTTATGTTTTTGGGATGTGACAGGCTTAAAGAAAAACTAACAGAGTCTTAGGAAAAGCGTGATGTAAGGTAAGGGAATCCAGATATGCAATAAATATATTCAACCTATAATATTCTTCAACTATATTAGCCTGAATATTATTATTTCTATGAGATTGTTGTCCGTAATGCATATCTTACGCGTTGTTGATTAAGTCGTAAAAGCCAGGGGGGGGCAACTGTCCCTTCTTGCCCCCCCCCCCCCCAAACGTCGCTCATGTATATGACGTACTTTATTTGCACAATAAAAATCATATCGATAGTTTAGCTTAATACTAAAAACGAAAATTGATTTTGTGGTCCTATAACTGCAGAGGACAGAACAAGAACAAGGGCATTTTGATTGTTTGTATTAGTCTGGTAGCTGAAGGGTATTTACATGAAATAGTGCTAAACTAAACTAAGAAACATATAAACTGTGCCTCCTGTCAAATTTTTAAATGTTCACATGCCACCTTTTGCAAATGGCACTCGTCATCTTCATTTTAAGTGGATTTATTTCAGAGCCGTGCATATCTGTCTCTATCGGTCACGGCCTACTTTAGAATTTTTCTTTGAGAATCACTCTATACATATAAATTAAAACTTTTTTAAAGCTAAAATAATTTGTCCAAAAATGCAAATAAATGCTACTCTTTTTCTCGTAAATTGTTTGAAAATGTCTTATAAACGACCTTAAATATCCTGCTTACTACACGTGTGGAGCTAATACTAGGATTTTAATTCTAAGATAACCTTTATTTACATAATATTGAAATTTCAATTAAGTCGATTTTAATCTCTGAGCAAATAGTTTAGATAATAAGAATGATAGGATCAAATAATTTTATTGCATTATCTAATAGGTAAATGAAAATCCTATTCTATGAATACCGGCCTGTAAATGCACCCAAATCAATATAGCTCGCTTGTAATTTATTTATCTTTAAAATAATTCATTCATTCTACGTAATGAGGAGTCACCTGTTATTATTTTTATCGATTTTCAATATTATACCACATAGATATAAATTTAAATTACATTGAATAGCTCTTCGAATTAAATTCATTTTAAAACTTGTTACTGATGTTTTATGTTTTATTTTTATAATTTGGTGGTAGAGTTATTAAGGGGAAACGCTCCAGTATTAGATCATAACGTTGATTTGACATATTTCAAAATGTTACATTCTTAAGAGCAAACATGACGGGCGCTCCTCCGCCAAAAATCAATTTTACATTTGAGGCAGTTAAAAAAAATTGTAAAAAAAATGGTTCAGGTCAATCGTTCTAAAAATGAACCAAGAATGACGCTAAATCGCGAAAAAGTTATATTTTTAAAGAAAATTTTAACTTTTTAACAAATTTAATTTTTTGGCTCTTTAGCGTCATTCTATAACAAATATGTTAACTATTTTCTAAATAATTTTTTTTTAAAAAGATTACCAATTTTAAACAGCACCAAAGATAAACATAGTTTTCATTCCGATACTAATTCTATTAAAACAATGATACCAGTGAATATGGCAACGCTGCTAGTCTATGAAGCCCGTGGTTACTTGTAGGTACTTGTAGGTACTTGTTTTTGAAGAGGTACGAAATTATTGTAATCGTCTTAGTTTGTTGTTGAGGCGTTGTTAGGTTTTTGTTTAATTTAGTTTTTAGTTAATTTATGAAATGAAAAATTCTGGAAGGCAAAAATGCTACCACATCTGACAAATTTCTATTTTAATTGTTTGCTGCCAGAGTTAGTAAATCCTAGAGAAATACGACATGTGCCAATTAGGGAAAAGAGATTGTCAAGAATTTTGCCCGCTTAAAAAAATGTGTAATATACAGGGTATTTCTAAATACATGCGACAAAATTTAGGAAGTGATTGCTTGTATGAAATTAAGATGGGTCTTTCCTATAACAAAATTTCCTCAGCCCACCCCTTTTCGAGATATCACCCTTATAAGGTGGTGACTAAAATTGAGTTTTTATTTTTTTTCTAAAATTTCAGTAAAGCTAGAAACTTGAAATTCTGTAATCGCAAAGGACTAACCACGGGTATTTTT